GAAGGAAGGAAGGAAGGAAGGAAGGAAGGAAGGAAGGAAGGAAGGAAGGAAGGGAAGGGAACTGAGAGGAGACAAAAGATCATAGAAACTTACATAGAACTGTACATGGCAATTAATACATACACGTGCAAAATATTTGCTGTTGTTCTATGGTGTCAAGTTGCCTCCAACCTACAGCGATCCAAAGAACAAATAACCTCAACATGTCCTATAATGAAGGTTCTGCTCAGCTCTAACCATCATGGGAAGGTTAAGACTTCTCATGATGTGTCCAAAGTAGAACAGCCTCAATTCCACCATTTTTGCTTCTGGAGAGTTCAGGCTTGATTTGATCTAGACCCAACTGGTTTGTCTTCATGCCTCAATTATTGGTGATGCTAGCTAAGACTAATAGAAATCGCAGTTCAGCAGCAGTCCGTGATACTCACAAAGCTCTCCTCCAGCACCATGCTTCAAACAAACCAATTTCATTTCCTGTCTATTTTCTTCATGGTCTATCTTTCACCCCTGTACACAGCAACTGGGAATACAATAGAGTGGATGGTCTTGACCTTCACCAAATTGCAAGCAGCTTTTAAACTGGATTGCAATTCTTCTCACCTATGTGGGGAAGAGTGGAACCTACTGGGTCTCTACTAACCAACTCCATGGTCCCTGATTTCACTCCTTCTGGTTCTTTATCTGTAAATCAGGTTTGGACCAGACAGTCCTTCAGATAGAGAACATCTTTTTTTTTTTAAAAAAAGAACCATATCAGACACTTCCTTAAATAGAATACTGTCATCTGCAAAAGAGAACACGTCGCCATCCTAGCAGAGGATTGGATGCTGGAGTTATATTGAGACAGATATATAGCACATCATGAGACAGAACTAAAGGAGTTGTAAATCAGGTTTGGACCAGACAGTCCTTCAGATAGAGAACATCTTTTTTTTTTTAAAAAAAGAACCATATCAGACACTTCCTTAAATAGAATACTGTCATCTGCAAAAGAGAACACGTCGCCATCCTAGCAGAGGATTGGATGCTGGAGTTATATTGAGACAGATATATAGCACATCATGAGACAGAACTAAAGGAGTCCTCAGCAATGTACATCCCTCTAACAATCCTGAAGAAAGAGCGCAAAGCCAAAAAACTGAGAAACTGATTGAGATAAATACTCCCAAAGTTGGAGAATAATTCATTCCAATAAGTAAATTTGACCTATGTGAAAAAGAGGGTGACAGGAAAAGATGTCCTTCACTTTTTTTAAAGGAATGTGAAATCCTATGATCAAGATGAGTTGTCCAAGCCAACAAATACAGTCAGGGTGCAAAGTCAGGAAAAATAAGACCACCTGTAATGGGTCTGCATGCACAACATTA